GATATTCCGTGTAGGGTTTCACTTTGTCATGTTGAAATAATATTCTCTTAATAGCCTTCTGATGATAACTGGTGATTTAATAATAATTAAAATATTAATGTTAATAATATCAACTTTATTCTAGAATCTATACTTACACACAGTACAGAATTGACGGTGTAATTTCTTGAAAAATATTCACTCCATGTATAGAACCTTCAAGTACGGTATTCATCGATAGTTTATCGGATGGCATAACGTTTTACTATCTGAGACAATACTCAGTCACCTACGAAATTTTCTTCTTGAAATGTACAGCAGTAGGTTAGGAATTAACTAAAAATTTATGTGAAGTCATACTACTTACTACAAGAAGACATAATAGGAAGATAATAGCAACAAGAAACGGTGAAAAGTAGGTGCATTATTATTATTTATTATTGTTTCCTTTAATTCCTAGAGGAACATAGGGCTTCAGCTATGCGTCTCCATTACGTTCGGTTCTCTGCTAGAGTCTTCACCTGGCTACAAGTCTGCCCACACGTTTTCATCTCCTCTTCACATAACCTCCTCCAAGTCACCCTTGCACTGACGACCAACTCGCCGTTTCCCTTTCGGGTTCCACTCGAGCAATGGCTTGTCTAGTGATGTCACTTGATGGTTTCCTCAGAGTATGGCCAGCCAATCCATCTCCATTTCTTCCCGCCTATTTGTTTCACAGTCGGTTCCTGGTTAGTTCGCTCCCAAAGATCCCTGTTGCTGATCTTTTCTGGCCACCTGATCTTGAGTAGTGTTGGGCGAAGACAACTGTTAATGAAGGTCTGTATTTTGTTTGAGATGCTCTTTATGACGCGCAGTGCAAGTCTCTGATCTGTCTAGTGAGTAGCACTGACTTCACATTGGAGTTGAAAATCCGGACCTTATTTTTTATGCTGAGAGTTGTTGACCTCCACACAGACTTGAGAGTATTGAAAGCTTGTCTTGCTTTTCCGATTCTTGCCTTGATATCCTCGTCAGTTCCGTCCGCCTGTAGTTGAAACGATGCTTCCCAAGTAGGTAGATAAAAGAGGTTGTTTCTTTCAGGTTCCTCCCATTTATGCTGATTGTTGTCTGTTGTTGTTGCTGTTGGTGGTGTTTCCCAGGAATCTTCATCACCTCTGTTTTCTCTATGTTCACCTGAAGGATGCTTCTTCTGTTAACTTGTTGCTTTTCACTTGCATGTCTTCCAGTTTGTTGGAAATCAGACATATATCATTGGCGAAGTCGAGATCCTCCAAGTTTTTCGTTAGGGTCCATTTTATGCCTGTTTCCCCATTGCCTGCTGTTTGTCGCATTATCCAATCTACTGCAATCAAGAAAAGCATTGGCGATAGTAGGCAGCCTTGTCTTACTCATTATGATCAAAGGAAATTTAGGTAGCCTAGTAGTTTAAACAGACCGCCAATATCATGTATACATATATAAACACAGATGCTGACTACAGATGGTATTGACTTATCTTTTTTTATTAAATCTCTCACTAGAAAGAATTTCTCATACGAACTTCAAGGTATGGTATTTGTAATCCCCTCTATTGGTAAGAAGGTTCATTGATTAAACATATTTACTTTATCGTCACAGTGATTATTTAGTCTCTGTCACTATACGTAAGTTTTTCGTAAGTTATTTAAACACCAGTGTTACATTGGCTAGGGGTCGCGCTATGTCGTGAATTGGCAGAAGTTAGAATTCATGGACTAGCCATTGGATCGGGTCCCAGTGGCTTAATGGTATACTAGCTCGCCTTGTAACCAGAAGGTCCTGGGTTCGAATCCCAGTGGGTGCGTACTGATGAAGAGTCCCAAACTAGGACGAAACAGCTGTCCAGTTCTCCCAGGTTTTCCAATGGTTCTCTAACTAATGTCAGCTCATGATGAAAATCCTGTAACCAGTGTTACATTTGAATATTTTCATCGCACTTTCAGACAATTTTTTTTACCGAAGTTATATTTATCGTATCTACAACGAGTAGTTCAGTCAGATATTTGCATTCACATTTCAATATCGCATTCCTATCTTAATCGAAAAATATATTTAGATGTCTCTTGGTCAGAATGCGTTACAATATATAATGAAAGCTAATGACCAAAGTAGTGAGCAGTGATATACTGACACAACGTTCTGCATTCTTCAGTTTAAATTCTGGCTAGACAGTTAAAAATAGCTATAAACGATTTTCAATCATTGTGTCCCTTAAATGTGTCTAGCATAAATATAAAGTGGGATGAAGGTTGTAGAGGTAAGACTTGAAGAAGGCTTTACTTAGTCCTAAAAACGGGTTAGTCGAATTATTAGTTAGGCGTGATAGCTGTCTACCCTTTTTTTGGCAAATGTTGCCAATCTGAGGTATCTAGACGTGACTTAGTTATTCCAGGGAGCACAGAATTCTTGTGCTCTGTTTTCCAAGTGCCCTGGGAATATTTTATATAACTGGATAGAGATTGTGATAATCATCTCCAGCATTTATTTTGTATTTATTGATTAACATGAGACACGAAGGAAAGATTATATTTTCCACTGTCAATTTCATACTCGCAACTTAGAGTCATGTTTAATTCTGCTGACTCGTCACATTTGTTTCCTCTGTACAGATATATTCATTATTGATAAAAACTTTTAATAATATGGTGCACGTATTTCTTAAAACAGAATGTTATATCGCTTAGTGCTTGTTTTCTCTAACCATCTACTACAGATTATACGCACAAGTATCCGGATGTAATTGACAATAATCTATGCTGCTTACGAAGCGAGATTCCAATGTATCAAATAGCATTCATGAGATGAAGATAGATTCCGTATACTATCTAAGTGTTTAAAATGAATCCTGACATTCAATAGTTTGTACTGATAATTGCTTACTATATTAGGTGTGGTTTAATACGGTGAGCAATATTGAAGTTAGGCGTAGAGCGTTTGGTGAGGAAGAGAAGTCAATTGATCAGGTCATGAATCTAAATAGATTGCGATAGATAGAAGACGTGATGCGCATACCGCATACCAACGCTTTCCTCTAAGAACAATGTTAACTGACATAAGATAAGTTTGAAAAAACAGTTATGGGTGGTCAAACCAGAACTTAGAATCAGTTCATGAAATTGTCAGCAGTCGGTTTGAGCAACCTAGAGAGGTGTAGACTGCCTGGTTGGGGTTCTCGGGACGTTAAGAACCAGTGGCTTGAGACTATTTGAAATATGGCTAAAAATTGGTCTCAATGATAGATACACTGACTTTTCGTAATCTCTCATAACTAATTAACCCTCATATTTTTCCCCGTTGTTATTCTTGCCGGTTTGATCATGAGGTAACCTCAGTTAGAGAACTATTGGAAGCCTGGGAATATTGGGCAGGTGTTTCGTCCTAGTTTTGAACTCTTCAGTAGTGCACACCTGCAGGGGATCTAACCCATGACCTTACGGTTTCAAGGTGATCTCGTATACCGTTCAGCCACTGGGATCTGACCTGATGACCAGTCCATAAATTCCAACTTCTGAAAATTCGAGATATATATAGCGCGACTGCCAGACAAAGTCATAGGCCAGTAACTGGTCTCCTACCTGACTTGATGGCCCGCACCTGGTATGACTTCTCACTAGAATTTCAGGTAACTTCCCTTAAACAACCAGTCAGCAGTAAGAATCAGATTATTGGTATAAGACAGTTAGAGGCAATCAGCAGGAAGCCTTGAACCTAGGATTCGTGCTAGTTGGTAATCACCAGTCAGCAAGGCGTATCTGTAACATTGAAGGAACCCATGTCCCTAGGTTTCGTGCTAGTTGGTAATCACCAGTAAGCAAGGCGTATCTGTAACCTTGAAGGAACTCATGTCCCTTCTGAGATTCGAACCCGCTTGACTGATAGAATTCAATCTCCCCAGAAGACAGGACTAGACACATTTCACTAGTTACTGACTAGTGTCCAATCAAAAAAAGAATCAGATTAGTTGTCAACTGTTGGTTTGAAGGGATTTAACTGGTTGTAGGTTTGATCATGAGTTTTCCAATGGCTTTCTAACTGATGTCAACTCGGGATCAAACCTGTAACCAAACACCTGATAGTTACTCTTACACACATTTCTGCCTATTGTATTCTTTCTGAATTTCGCTTTTTCCATTTCTCTACCTTTGTTGAAACTCATTCAGTCAGTCATACAGTGAGACTGATAATGATCGATCGCAGTGCTATTTATTGTGATAAATTTCATTTAACGTTACTTGTTTGTGAGACTGAAAATTAGATAAGTGACAAATAACAGGTCTGCGCACCAAACTGAATCAAATCTTCGATGAATAGTGATCATATAACATGGCTATTAAATCCCCAATATAAGGCACAGGGTTCGAGCCTCGGTGTGAACATCATCACTCACTGGTGAGTGAAGGTACATCCAGTCAGAAATAAGGCGAAACGCACATCCTAGATTCCACTGCCAGTCACCATACACCGATTGACTTCAAGTTACATGACCATACAACGTTGAAGCATCTTCACAAGAAGCCGACATGTCAACATGAGACCGAGCACTTCAGTCCAACCAGTCAACGGGAAAAATCAAAATTGAATTAAATAATTAATGAGACTCGTTGCACAAGAGACAGTGGCTCTCGTTGCCCAAGTGGTCCAATGGATAACACCTTAAGGTTTGAAACCATGGGCATAGGTTTCGAGCCTCGGTGGGAACACCATCGCTCTCTGGGAAATACAAGTACATCCAGAAGACGAGTTCCAAATAGGACGAAATGCGCATCCTGGATTCCATTGCTAGTCATCATCCACCACTTGGCTGTGAGAAACTATGTTCAGTTTCTTTACTTATTGACTGAAACTCAGTTGCATAAATAAATGAATGAATTACGATCCCAATAGTCACAATGAATACCATTTAACTCTAAAAACATAACTTCTACCTAGCTCACTGTAAAACAATAGAACTATTGGCCTATTTAGTTTCACCCTCAGAATATCAAAAGTCAACAACACTTTTACTATTATTTTTTAAAATATGACTTTTATTACAAAATAAGGCGGAATGAAATGACGAAACAAATGTTAACGTAGAAAGCGATTAACCTCTCACTTAAGTTGAATAACAATCATTCTACATGGAACACAGATTTAAACATAAATAAAGAGGTGAGATGTACAAATTAAGCAAGATGACGTCCATTTAATAATAATTAAGAATGATGTAAATAAATCATATTGAGTATGGCGGAATATATTTTGTTTGTTTATTTGTTTTGATTAATATAAAAACAAATAATGACCAAGAGAACTGCAAGAAGTAAGCGATGCACTGAACAATTATGGACAGTTGAATTACAAAAGTCGTCAGTACAACACATATAAGTGAACGAACTGTATTGCCTGTTCCAGGTATTAGTCGAACACTCAGGTGTACATGCTCTAAATACCTTCGGTGAGTTGCCGGCGACTCTTACTGTCTAACAGTGGAAAAATGTAAGAAAAGTGACATATTATATATATGTATATTACACAATAAAAAAAATGTATAGTAGTCTATTATTGAGTACTAGGGGGGGGGGGGCTAACATAATTGATGTAATTACTCAGAAGAAGAAAATTCTCTTTAACGGCGAAATCATCTTCAGAGACTGTACATTCGTATTTATATTTCTTCTTCTGAGTATTTTTATCAATTACGTCACCCCCTAGTACTCAGTAATAGACTACTGTACATTTTGGTAAATATAAATACGACTGCACAGTCTCTGAAGTCAATTTCGTCGATAAAGAAAATTTACTTCCTCTGAGTAATTATATGAATTTGTTTTCTTTAGAAACTTTAGCTTAATACTCTGGAAGTGAATATCACCAATAAGAAGCACAGTGTATGTTTAGCACTGGAGATGGAGTTTCAAACGGTAGTTGTAAGGCTTTATTTTATTTGTTTTTACAAGTTTGACGACGGATTGATATCAATCAGAGAACTAATGAAAACCCAACAAGGAGTACTCGACATCTGTTTAATCCTAGTTCTTGGGAATCGTCGGCAGTACACACCCACCACCATGGTTCGAACCCAAGAGATTCCGATTGCAAGGCAAGCTCGTATACCATTCAGCCACTGGAACCTGATTCAATGACCAGCCCATGAATTCTAACTTCTACATTGGTCAAAATTGTATAAGCAAATTTAATCCTTACAAACCAACTCTTGTAAATTCATTTTATTTCTCCTATTTACGAACTGGTTATTATTATTATTGTTCCCCTGGGTTCCTAGTGGGACATAGGGCTTCAACTGCACGCCTCCACTTGCTTATGTCTTCTGCTGTATTTTTCACTTGCATCCATGTAAGTCCATACTGTTTCAACTCCTCTTCACACTATCTCCTCCATGTCACCCTTGGACGTCCCACTCACCGCTTCCCTTTCGGGTTCCACTCGAGCTATGGCCTGACGCGCGATGTCACCCAGCGGCCTCCTCAGCTCAGCGAGTGTCCAATCCAACTCCACTTTCTCCTGTATGTTTGTTGAGCGATCGGCTCTTGTTTTGTTCGCTCCCATAGTTTCTTGTTGGTGATTCTTTCCGGCCATCTGATCTTCAGTATAGAACGAAGACAGTTAGTTGTTGATAAAGGTCTGCAACAGGCTGTTGGAAATATTCTTTGTGACACACTGGCCAAGTTTCCGATCCGTATAGAAGAAGAAGTGACTTGACGATTGTATTGAAAATTCGAATTTCGTTGTTCATATTGAGTGACGAAGATTTCCAGATTGGTTTCAGGTTGATGAATTTGTTTCTCGCCTTCCCGATTCTCGATTTTGCATCGTCATCCGTTCCTTCTGTAGTTGAGACAATGCTCCCTAGATAAGTGAATGAAGTAACCTCTTTCAAATCCCTCCCGTTGATGGTGACTGGTTCTGGATGTTGTTGTTGTTGGTTGGTTGGTTAGTTGGTTATTTTCATAACCTCCTTCTTGTCTATGTTCACCTGGAGTCCTTCCTGTCTTTGCTGCTTCTTCGACCAGTTTGTCGGTTTTCGCTTGTAAGTCTTCGATTTTGTGTGACATCAAACATAAATCATCCACGCGCGAAACCGAGGTCTTCTGGGTTCTTCACGTCGGTCCAGGATATCCCTGTCTTCTCGTTTCCCACTGTCTGACGCATAATCCAGTCCACCACAATTAGGAATATCATTGGTGATAATAAGCACCCTTGTCTGACTCCTGTGTTTACTCCAAACGCCTCGCTGAGTTTTCCGTTGTGGATCACTTGACATGTGCCGTTGTCGTACAGCTGTTGAATCAGGTTGATGAATATTTGGGGTACGCCGTAGTACTCGAGTAGTTTCCAAATTACTTCGAGGTCAACGCTGTCGAAGGTCTTCTCAAAGTCTATAAAGTTGAGGTAGAGGTTTGATTGCCATTCCATGCTTTGTTCGATGGTGATGCGTAGAGTTGCAATTTGGTCAGAACATGATTTGCCTTTCCTGAATCCAGCTTGTTCTGGTCGGAGTTCTGTATCCAGTGCGTCCTTTATTCTTTCCAGGATGATGCGACTCAGGATTTTACTTGGCGTCGACAGGAGCATGATTCCTCGCCAGTTCTTGCAGAGTCCTAGGTCGCCCTTCTTTGGTAGTTTCACTAGGTAACCTTTCCTCCAGTCAGTAGGCACCTTTCCCTCCTTCCAGACCTTTTGCAATAATGGAGTCAGCATATCTGCTGTCGTTTCTGGGTCCGCTTTCAGTGCTTCCGGGGGCATTCCATCTGGTCCAGCTGCTTTTCCAGCTTTCAGAAGGTTGATTGCATTCAAGACTTCAGCTTTCGTTGGAGGATTGGTGTCCACTTGCAGTTGTGTACGTGCTGTTGTTGGTATTTCTGGACGGGTTGCAAGTGGTGGTCGGTTCAAGAGTCCTTTGAAGTGGTCCGCCCATTGTTTAATCTGTCTTTCTCCCTTGGTAATTGGGTTCCCCTGGCTGTCTTTTATAGGTTTTACTTGTGTTGATGTCTTCCCGGATAGAGACTTGGTTATCTGTACTTTCATGCTAAGTAAAGTTTTTAGAGATGCAACTTTTGATTCTGAATGGTACAACCTAAGGGTCACTGTGTTAACAAGTGGAGGCTTCGTTAGTTAATTACCATTATCATTAATTATCATATGGAGTTAACCGACTCGATAATATTGAAAAACCCATAACTGAAGAGAACAAGTAGCACACATCATAGAATTAAATGTGTTGAACTATGGAGTCAAGTAACCGTTGAAACGATAGATTTTAAATCAGAGCAACACAACGACTTGAAGTACTGGCCTCAACATTCAATGTAAAAAATGTACTGATCACAGTTGTATGCTGTCATATACAAACTGAATTCGCTAATTAACACATCAGACGATGCGTTATAAGTAAATACTTGTGTTGTTCATTTCTTTAAAGATGTACAAAATTAAGACTCTGGTAATAAATACTAAAAGTCAGGAATTATGATTCCGTTTTTGGAAATCAGCGGTTCATTTCAATGAGCCAGGCAGAAAACAACTTTGGAGTTCTTGTACTCACCAGCAAGTGGACAGTATTCATTTCTATGCCATTTATCTTTACGAATAATCAGTTTTTATTGTTTGAGTTTCCTTTGAAGCTGATACTCAAAAATGATCTAGGTAAGTAGGACAATCTATTTGTACACAGAAAAATACCTCTTGGCCTTAACTCTATGCTTGCCGTTACTAATTTGCAAAAGATTTTCCAACTATTCGCTAACTAATGTTGTTACTTCAGATGTTACAACCTGTGCGATTCACTTCGAAATTTATAGATGTTACCGGGTCGCTAATGAGACGTCGATTGAAAAAAAATTTTGAACTCAATTAAATCAGCCCATAAATGTCTCCATGATTCATGCTGATTTTATTTAATAAATCATAGCAATTTAATATCGATCAACAAGAAAGATGGTTAACTCTATAAAAACACTTTTTACTCACCGCACACCATTTACATTCTGTTGCATTCTTAACTTCTTTAGATGTAGGATTGAATGGATTTGGACATGGATCGCATGTATAACATTTGGATGACAAAGCTGAAATAAATGAGAACGAATATAAGATTGTAGTAGTAATACGTCATATTCAACTGTTGAAATAATTTCACAACACATTATAGAAGTCTTAAAATAAATATGATTCAAATGAATGTGATGAACTGAAAAGAAGCTCATTGGATGAACGATAATGTGTCCTCCACAAGGTATGGGTAACAAAACTGGATCTAGCATATGGTTAAGGTTGCTCTGAAGTAAGAGGCTAGGGATAAACAGCACAAGCCATCTGCTTGTGCAATGAAAATAATCCTGAAATTAACCAGAAACACTAGTCTCCGGATCTCATCAAACTCAAAAACTGTTGAATGAAATCAATGCTTTCTTATTCAGAGGACACTTCGCAAACATTTTTGAATTCGTACGTGATTATTTCGTAATGAGAAAACACACAGAGCTATGCAGAATAAAAAACAATAATTCTGCTTATGGCTTTACATGTGTTTCACAAAGCTTGCAATATTAATATTGGATATTAACAGTAACACAGAGAGTTGAAAGAGTTCTAGACATAAAGAACAGATTGTAGTCAAAATTAGTGACACATTATAACTAATAAAACACAATAGGAGAGTTTTATTTGATATAAACTACAGTGATGCAGTATTAGTTATCTATTGATGGCCTTTAAAGCACAATTTATTACTCATAACGATATCAAGGTAATGTCAGATGAAATTACACTCTACTAGAGAGCTGAAATTCTATTCACATGAAAAAAGTACAAGTTTGAATCGTTATCTCTTTTTCAACATGCTTCAAATGTATCATGTATTCGTCAGTTTTAATAATTTTGTTGTAACACTGTAGTTTTCGTGTATGTTTTGGAGAATTATGAAGTCAGTAATATTTACTTCGTGATATCCATATACATTTCATATTTAACAATTATTCTGAGCTCGTTTGTCACCGTAATCAAGGTCACCTAGAGTTCGTTCGAATTGTGGCAACTTGAAATGCTTTGCATTTATACCACATCCCCTGTTGATGCGCCAGCCAACTTTTATATTCTAGTGAATCTGACTTTCACCTGTAATTCGGTCGTTAGTAAATACTGCCACCACAAGTGACTATTAAGAAAACTGGGATTTGTTTTGTTTGTGTCAGATAATATGGTTATGCTACCGCCTTATTTCTTATTTTATCTTATCTAGGAGGTTTTCGGGTATATTTCTCTGCGTCTGGCTAGAATAGTACTACAAGGATGAAAGGAGGTATATCAAAAATGATAACAGTCTTCTACTGTTGGAAATAAATATCATAATAACTAGTTAGAACCAAAGAAGCAAGTACCCTTCTAAGAATTACTACAAACACTTTCATAGTCTACTATACCGATATCGGCTTTTAATAAATATGCTATATTATTGAATTTACAATTTATATCATGGTTCCAAGATGATGTAACTAGAAGTTATAAATTGTCTTCATTATAAGTTGTTATTTTATTCCACATAATTAAGCCATACTCTTAATTCCTATTTGACTCGCATTCAGGTCCTCATTTAAACATGCTTGTTTACTCATAACGAAGTAAATTCTTTGATCGGATGCTATGTAATAACAAATACTACACGTCTAGTCTTTCGTTTGGTTCAGAGTGAATTCTATCAGTCAAGTCTGACCGAGTGGCTTTCCTGCTAGATGCCTTGCCATCACCGTACACTATGAACTGTTGTCAGATGGTTGGAGGAAATAAGCAGGATGCCTTGGACCTAGGTTACGTGCTTGTTGGTACTCAAAAACAAGGCGTATTTGCACTCCTGAAGGAAACCATGTCCTTTCTCAGGTTCAAACCCAGTTCACCTAGTACTGCAGTCGGAGACATCACCACTGTTGATACAGTTGATATAGATACAGATATACAGAACGCTATACAAAACTATTCAAATACAAATTATTTCTAATCTTCCACAAAACATAGTACTGGAAAAGGATATTGAACATTAGAACGAATTTAGAGGGACTTCATTTTTTTAAGAGAAATAAACTGAGAATTTTGACAGCAATCAAAAAAATAGGCAACATTAGTTTATTCCTCTAGTCACTTATTGGATAGGAAATGGTGTGAACATCCTATTTCCGTAATTCTAGTAAAATTTACCACGACTATTACGAAATTTTCGTTTTAATCTCACGGCTTCCTAAAATTATTCATTTTAACTAAAAGATATGTCTTGTAAACAAATTTCTTTCACACATATACTGAATATTTTTAAGTGAATAGTCATTTTATGAACCAATAATTATGAGAAAATAGATTTAAATATACCTACCGTAATTTGCACTGACCACAATTAACAAAGACGCTAGCAGAATTTGTATATTAAATTTCATGATAACAATGTTGTTAGAAGATTGAAGGTATTACTTAACGAACTTTGCTTGAAGATACTGAAAATTTCAATAATCCAGACACGTGGTTTTGGTAATTCCTACTTTTATATTATCGTCTGAAAATAAGTAATTTTAAAGACCGGTCTGGTAAACTGTAGGCTAAAATGCATTCAGGTGATTGGCTATCCGAAAAATTTATATATATTCAGCTTATTGATTTTACAATTCATTGAAGTACTAACACATCTATCTATCTATCTATCAGACAGACATTTTTCATCGGTCTCAGACATGTGATAAAGGAAATATTATTATATATTATATTAGTTTACTGAGACAACAAAACATGATTTAATTATGTGTGCCCACAGATTGTATTTACGACCTTCTCGTTGTTTGTCTTAGTGTGTGTACGTGTGAAATATGCAGAACGTTTATTTACAGTTATTATTTATGTGATTAGAAATAATCAAACTTTTTAATTTTCCTCAATCTGAACGAATAATATTCTTTTCAATAATTTCTCTTCAAAAGATTGGATACTGAACAAAGAGTACTCTTTTCGATAATTTAATCATTAGGCTCTACAATTAAATATACATTATAGTGAATGAATGAATTAGTCTTATGAACACCATTAATGTTTAAATAACATCGAATCAGTAATATCGATAGATTAAGGTTCAAAAGCATCAACATAAAATACGGTGAATGTCAGAAAACTTAGGAAAGATAATATTACAGAGCCATGAGTTTATAGTTTCTACTGAAGGCCAGGGCAGTAGTAGGGCCTGTACTTGTTTCTTTTGAACACAGAGCACTGGTTGTTTGAGGTGAATTGCAATAGCCTCTGCTGTTTGGAGCATGCGATGCTTCGATGATTTTGGCAGTTTATTAGGCGCCAGGTAGATGATAGGGAAGGATTCTTCCACTCTGGCTTTGTGGCCAGTTTGCACTAGATGGTCGAATATCGAACTGTTAATGGTTTTCACTACACCTTTACTTAGCCATAGTGGGAGATGTTCTCGAGCACAAAAAATCAAGTTATGTAACGACAATAAAAATTATATTTTATAATTGTAAGGACCTGAAGAGAAATTATTTTTCGTTCAGACTGACTTTTAATTCATGATATGGGAATATTTCACACTGTTTAATCTCATAATTTTCACCAAATGCGACATAATCTTGTAAGCAAGCGGGCTTTTTATAAATTTGACTATTTGTTTTTCAGTGGGCTTATGACTCACCCTAACAACGACGTTTAATGTAGCGTCTCTAATTCATGTAACAACATAAGTAATATATAATTAGGATATTTGACATCACATTATGAATTGGTGAAGTTATTACGAGCTTGAGAGTTCATGTTAGACTCTGACAGTAAGCGTTGCTTCAAAGTCATATCTAGGCTTTAGGTTATATAAAATTTCATTTTCATGTTTTTATGCTGCTATGCGCGGCCTATGTTATCAGGAATTCTTGGTTTCTACTTGTGTCTAAGTGGTGCTCACATGAACTAGGGGTATTTAGGCTGTGCCATATCATCGCTATTTGTTTCTCCGCATTGCCTTTTACAGCTAACGTTTTGAATGATAATTACTAGCAGAGAAAACTGGAAAATTAGTTTCATTCTAGTAGAGTTTTTTTAATGTTTGATTATAATAGCATGTTAGTTTGTTTGTCTTCCTAACGAAATTTAGACCCTTGCGTAGCTATTTGAACGATTAAATGTTATTTGAAGTAGTGAAATGTGAAGAATTCGAATGGAAAGCCCTCTACTGAATGGTTTATTTCTTATTTCTTTAATTTCAAAGGATGTTCTAGAAGATTAACATACTTTAGCTCGTGGTTGAAACATGTTTTGTTTCTTTTACTTAGATACACTGTAGAATAATACGGACAGTTAGATAGATGTCAGTATGGGGGCAATATTAGTGCTAATATATGTGTAAAACTTGGTCACTCTAGTATTATGTAATTCCATATTAATTTGTTTATTAACAGTGAGACAGCATTATTTACTGGATCCAGTTGATGTGACACGAAGAAATAAGTAAAATTTATTGAGCCCACGTATCATTCCTCAGATTCTGCCTTTCTTCACGTTTGGGCTTCAACACCATATATCTTGCACAAGCAATCATTCTAACTGATTTTTAGTGCTCATGATCTAATGTGATCTATTTATATACTCTTTAGTTTCCATAATCTAATTTGTTCGGATCACTATTGTATCAACATGATAGAAGTGTTTGAACAGCTTCTATGTAAACTGGATGGATAAAGGAGAACTCGTCAAGCGAAAATAACTCAGCAATCTTTTTCACTCATTCATATCTTGAAAATGTTATACTATTTATCACCCGCTATTACAACTTTGACTTCCCTAGTTATACAAAGAATTATTTGTTATTTTAGCCATCATTATGAGTGTTCAAAATATACATTCTAAAATTCCTCAGCCTTTTTTGATTGGACACTAGTTGGTAACTAGTGAAGCGTGTCTAGTCCTATCTTCGGTGCAGACTGAATTCTACCCGTCAAGCTTGCAGTATGGCCACCATGCTAGGAGTGCCAGCTAACACGAAACCTAGGTCGAGTAAGGCTTCCTGCCGATTGCCTCCAACCATCTAATACGAACGATTCCTCAGTCTTGTTTATGCATGCGCTTATATGAAATATTCATTTCTGTTAATGTTTATTTCATGTCTTACATATTTTAGAATTCTGACTTTCTAAATTCATTTTACTTGTATTGGCAAGTAAATATTTCTACACGGATTATCCTTGGCTGTGTTAGGTAGTCCTTAAATCAAACTAACCATCACAACATCAAATTAGACAGATAATTTATCCATCAGCAACATACAGTAAACTAGGCATAAAACACTACTTACAATAAGTTGACAATAAAGAGTGTTGATCAGATTATTTGAAAATGAATAAATGAAGTTTCATATCTACTGGCTAAATAAACTTACAGCTGAATGACTGATAAGTGACAATGTTACCTGCCTGTTCTAAGTAAGTAGTGTGATTAAGAATTCAGAAATGGTGAGAATAAAGTCTAAGCAATTATTCTTAATCATTTCTTCCATTCGGAGGGGAACAAAGGACTTCGCGGAGAATCCCGGTTGGAATCGATTCTCTGGCCTGACTTGCAGTTGGTTCCGAGACTGTGTGAAATCATTCACTCCCTCTTCCCATGGCATCCTCGGATCATTGCCCAAAATGTTACTTCCCATTCGAGTTCCATCCGAGGGCCTGATTGCTGCGTCATCAGCTGGACGTCTCCTCAGCACATGTCCAATCCATCCCAGCCTCATTATGCACACTTGTCGAGCAATAGGTTGTTGGATGGCTCGCTGTCAGAATCCCTTGTTGCTCGTCATTCGTGACTGGCCATCTCATCTTTATTATCAAGTGGGATAGATGAAATGGATTGGTTCCATTGATATCGATTTTGTTTGTACGTCAGAGCCAACCAATTCTTGTCTTCAAACGTACTTCTGTTTATGATTGCTTCAACTAACAAGTTCACTAATACTTCTTCATTTGATTTAACTAGTTTTAATCCAATTAATCGTGAAAAATCAAATCATATACAGACCCATGGAATACGAAATTGTTGAACTACAGTATTTATGTCAAGTTATTTCCCAAATGACATCATTAGTTGAAATGAATTTGTATTTTCCATTGGATGATGTATCTTAGACAGAAATGCTGGGTCTCTGTGTGACATGGTGTCTTCTAGTAGGAGCGCTTCGACGAGGTGCGATGATTACCATGATGTTATTTAGTTGATCTTGGCTGGCAATGGAATCCAGGCTCAGTTTGTTAACAGACACAAGGTGTTTTGATTTAGTGTCATAAACTGACGGGAAACACAAACTAATTGAAGGAAGTATCGACTGTTATCCATTTCAGAAGATGTAGTTCTCTTGACCTGGTGACTTGGTAGATAAGGCTTTGGTGTTTGAAAAGATGGATGAATCACAATGGAAATGATGAAGTTTATACGGATTAGTGACAACCAGTGTTATTCTTTAGTTCAAACAGATGATGAAAGACTGTCGCCTAGTATGCACATAGCCATCATTCCACTTTGGTTGGCGGTGGCGCTAGATATTGCAAAATGACAGAAGTTAGAATTCATGGACGATTGGATTGCTACTCAGTGGCTCAATGGTCAACGGGTTCAATTGGTAGCCTACGGCTCCTGAGTTCGATTCCTTCTGGAGTCATGGGTGTGTGATATGAATGAGTCCCAAACTCTAACGAAGAAACAGTTCATTACTCCCTGATTTTCATTGGTGCTCTAAATGATGTCGGCTCGTGATCTAACCTAAAAATAAATATTGCTAGTCAATAGCTATTCATTCTATCAATGTGAATAAAGATTTGAGAGAGTAAACGGAAGGTGTAACTCAAATTTTAGATATCAGTTAGGACACACCTTGGCGGCCTGCTTAAATCTTGGGCTACCAAATACCTTAATCATTACAAATCATATTGCATCTAATTGCTCACTTCCAATTTTATTTTAAATAATTAAATTTTATTCTAATATGTCCTCAAATCGGATTATTTATCCTCGTGAGTATTTAATATCCTTAAAACCTACTGATCGGAAATGCCACAAAAAAGACAAAAAAAAGCATCACGCCGGGTGGCAAAGAGCCTTAAAAAACACCCCTATTCAATTTATGACCGTTCCTGCAATCATGAGTACTAACTGTCGCTCCCTGCCAGCCAAGATTAACTATCTTCAATCACTTGTGTCTTCCATTATATATCGAAATACTGGGATCATATCACTTCAAGAAACATGGCTACACGATCTGTACGATGACAATCTAGTGTATCTAAATGATTTCAAACTATTCAGACAAGATCGATGCAGTTCTAGGAAGAAACGTGGTGGAGGTGTCGCCATCTTCATAAATTCACAATGGTGTACATCTAATAAAGTATGTTTCAAATTCTCTAGTGAC